GCTTCCTTCCTGTGTACAGCGCCAGGCTCCTTCACACTTGGTGATGGATATCATGCATGTTTAGTCTGAGTTCAAACATTGATTGGGCTAGTTAGTACTACTCTAKCATTYTGTTTCGCTACTCTGAACYACGTGAATGAGGTCAGTCYTGTSAGGTCAGTCTTTGTATCAAAGTCTTCCCTGCGCTATTCAGCACCTTTTGTATGTATGAGAATGTACATTGTCTGTCAAGATTCTACTCGCACTGTATTGTCCAGTCAGTCCTTTTCATCACACTGCAGTTCCTCGGTTATTACGTACATTGCATATCTGTGCATGTAACATCTCTGTACTCTCTAGCCTACTCACTACTATAAACTGTACTCTACTCCCTACTATCTACTGTACTCTACATTACTCTCTACAGTCTACCCTGCACTAGTCTCTACTACCTACTGTACTGCACACTACTCTCTACTCTCTACTGAACTCGACTCTACCTTATCTACTGTACTCTACACCATTCTCTACTCTCTACTGTACTCTCTCCTCCTCTCTACTCTCTACTGTTCTCTCTACTATTCTCTACTCTTAACTTTCTACTGTACTCTACATCACTCTAGTATCCAATCTCTACTCTCCTTTCCACTGTACTCCACCCTACTCTTTACTGTACTCTCTTCTACTCTATACTGTGGTATTCTCTACTCTCTACTCTCTGCTCCTCTCCGCTCTATTCTTCTCTATTCTCTACTTCTCTTCTCTATTCCCTATTGCACTCTACACTCTACTCTACACTACTCTCTACCATCTACTGGCTACTCTACTGTCCACTCTACTGTCTACTCTACTCTAATATACTTTCTACTCTCTACTTTCCACTCGACTCGACTCGACTCGACTCGACTCTGCTCTACTCTACTCTACTCTACTCCATACTCCATACTCCATACTCCATACTCTACTCTCTACACTCTAGTCTCTACTCTCTACTCCCTACTCTATTCTGCTCCTTTACTCTGCTCCTTTACTCTGCTCTACTCTGCTATTATCTGCGCTACTCCACTTAATTATTTTCCTCTCTTCTCTACTCTGCTCTGTAATCTACTCCACTTTACTCTACTGTATTCTACTGTACTCTGCTGTACTCTACTCTCTGATCCCTACTCAACTCCTTTACCGTACTCCACTGTACTCTACTGTACTCTACTTCACTCCATTGTACTCTACTGTCTACTGTACTGCCTACTCGCTCTCTACTCTGCTCTCTACTTAATGCATCTTGATGTTGATGTTTGAATGAAGTCGTCGCTGGGGCTTAGGAGGGGGTCAATTCTTTGTCGCCAAGGTACGCAGTATTTATGACGTGGGGATCTTTGGAAAATGTCTTTTAAACCACCAGTCCAACCGAAGCTAAATTGCCGAACCAAAATTTGCATCGTTGCTCTCTTTGAGGGAGGTACTGGCACCAGCCTACCTTGAAACTGAAGTGCTGTACCCTGTGCCAGAAGATGGCACGGAAAAAGACATGGGTAAGAGCATACTCACGCCAGGCCCTCAAAATCACAAAATCACAAAATGAACGGCCAGATCGAGTCCTCCTTTTACAAGGACTCAAATCTGCCCGTTTGCCATTTTGCGATTTAGAGGGCCTAGTGTGAGTATGCCCTAAAAGCAAAAAAAGAATAACTAAATCGAGATCAATGATTTCTCGGAGGGCCCTTGCTGAGGGCATACTCACACTAGTACTTTTCACTGTTTTCAGAATATATCCGAACACCATTATGGGAAAATCTTTGTTGTTGTTCTTTTTGCTTCTTAGTGCCCTGCCAGCGAGGCAGGGTGCTTTCCACATGCTTGGAAATGCCCTCACTGAGGGCATACTCACATCACCTGTAGTACTTCCCAGAACATATCTGACTGCTATCGTGGCCAAATCGTTCTTCTTCTTTTCCTTCTTTTGTTTCTCTTTGTATGCCACGTCCTCTGGGAAGGTCCTGGCTGAGGGCATACTCACGCAAGGACTTTCCAGAATGTATCTGACCGCTATTGCATCCAAATCTTTTTTCTTTTTTCTCCTTGTTTGTTTCTGTCTAAGGTCGTGCCCTGCCAGCAAGGCAGGGCGTCTCCGAATGTTCTGTGGTAAATAATGTAACCCGGCCCATTTTCTCTTTTTCTTTTTTTTCTTCTATCTCAATAGATTTTTCTGGGCCACCAGCCTTTTCTCTCTGAACCTAGGGCACACTCGCACTGCGGTAGCAAATCTGCATAATGCCATAATCTCAAAAAATAGGAACACCTTATTTGGGGAAATAGTGGTGGCGCTGGTCACACACTGTCCCCGAATCTCCCATTTCCCGGTGGCGGCAGCTCACCTGGTGTGGAGCTTGGGAAGAAGCCAGTCACACGGTGCACACCTTCTTTCCCTCATGCATTTGTCTGTTTTTTTTTTTTCCACCTTTCCCCAATTGCGATATCTTCGTTTAGGAATTTTCTATCATTTTTTGAAAGTTAATTCAAAACAGGATAAGGGATTTGTGGTAACCTCGAGAGGTTACCACAAATTCCCAAACCGGCGGCCCCTCAGGCCTCTGACAAAAGGGTTCCCGAATGAGTAGTTTGTGAAAATGCGAACTGGGTGTGTGACTGCCCCTCCACACTATATTTTGTGGATTCTGGGGATTATGCCGATTTTGGTACTGCAGTGTGAGCGTGCCCTAATCCTTGCCTGATGAGTGTGCAGTTTGCTTGCCGCAGTCGGTCCGAGAAAAATCTACAGTGACAGGGCACTTGGACTGGTGGTTTAAGGCGTGGTGGCTTTTGGGCTGTCTTTATTGAAGCTTAGTAGGGGGTTAATTCTCTGTCTCGAGACCTATTGGCAATAACACCATTCTTTCTCATTAAGGTTCCATGTATTGCATTCGTCAATGTTTGTTTTTCAAACAATTGACCGTTGCTATTTTTTTTACCAGCTTACGCATCCCCCATTTTTTGGTTCCGGTATTCAGACGGTATTGGACGGTTCGTACACTCTAATTTCGCCATCCTCACGTTGGCTGGGCCACACTGGCTGCCCTTATGTAACTCATCCGCCCAATAACATCCATAAAGCGTCCCCAAATGACAATTTGACGTTATTATTGCTTGTTGCTGGCTGCGGAGAAGCAGAATCGTTATAACCGCCCAATCACCCCGTTATCATCATGGAACCTGTGTCAGTGTCTATCAGTGGGGAGAAGAATTATTGTGATTTTCCCTGGCACGCCCACTTTGTTTTTTCTGTATTATGGTGAAACCCAGTCCCACGTCAGCTGGACTGTGTGGTACATAATAAGTGACGTCATGAGAGGTCGACTGCCTACATGAGCAGGGGTGCCCTTCCCACCGCTTTCACTTCTTCTGCACCTGCCCCATGGGATCGTCCTCAGCCATCATTGCTTCTTGATATTCTAACATCTGCCCCGTGTCCCACCGCCCTCTCTCCACATCCACGTCAGTGGATAGAACAGTCCATCTTCGTATCGCACTACTTGGGATAAGTGAGAAAATGACAGAAAAGCCGATCTTGTCACAAGGGACCTTTCCCCCACCTTGCTGCCGTCTTTCGTGGTCATCATGAGTGTAGTTACTTGCCTATTGGGAGGTGATTTTCCCAACGTCCTGCGATTGCTTGGTTTCACAGATGAGAGCGTCCTTACGACTTCTGCCCTCATACTCACCATCTTCGTTGTACCAGAGGCCAACCACCTCTCCCATAAACTTCATAGCCGCTGTAGAGGAGTCGTTGTCTTCTCCATTGTTTTGACCGCAGCCATTTTGAGCACCGCCAGCATCCCCACGATTCCCCCGCGCTCTCTTGAAGTGTTCACCCCTCAAGTTGCCTGTCCAGCCACCATGCTCACTATTATTGCTGTTTCTAAAGGATATACCAGGTTAAAAAAAACAAGGAAAAGAAAGGAAGCACAAGTTACGCCAGTTCCACATGGTTGTTTATGGTTTTTGTTTTTTCCCAATACTGCTGTCTTTGTGTGCAGGAATGCTAGGTGTTACACTTGGCGCCTATAAGAACAAGCCAAGGGTATATATTGGTTGCATGAAGTCAGGCCCAGTTCTTTCAGAGAAGTAAGTCTCATTACTACCACTATTTGATGTTACTCAGGGATGGGTCGGTGCCTGGCCGGTCGTTGGTTCAGGGAGAGGATAGGTGTTGAGGGGCTATATTGCAGAGGCAATCATATCAGGACCTTCCAAACCTTGCTAACAGGAGGTATGACAGCAAACAGATAACAAGGCTAAGAAGAAGAAGAATGCAAAGAAGGATAAGATAAAGAAGATGAAGAATAAGCAGTTGAAGAAGAAGAAGAAGAGAAGAGAGAGAAACCAGCTTTTTAAGGTAGAGGTCTCAAATTCCAAATTTCGATTCTTAAATTCAAAAATCTGCAGAAGTTTGAGAACTTTAAAGTGGGAACCTCTCTCTCTCTCTCTCTCTCTCTCTCTCTCTCTCTCTCTCTCTCTCTCTCTCTCTCTCTCTCTCTCTCTCTCTCGCACGCGCGCGCGCGCGTGCCTGCTCGCACACACATGCGTTCTCTTTCTCTCTTTTCAGGACGAAGAAGATGCCAGCTAGCCTCCTATGCTTGTTTTCTTGCCCAGCCCGATGGCGACCACGCTGCAGCGCGGGGGCAATGACGACCACTATGCAGCGCCAGGCGTGGTGATGAACTTGTTGCAGCTTGTGGGCAATGGAAGTGGGGCGAGCGTGATCACGATGCAGAGCACACAAGGCAAAACAATGCCAGAGGGGCAACGTGAATGTCAGTGGGGCGACGCGGTGCAGGAGTTTGAACACTGAACCCCACCTAAAGCACAATGTCAAAGGTGGCCGATCGTGGCGGCTGATCTTGCGAGGTCAGCGGCCTAGATAAGCCACCAGTTGACTTTCAAATGGGATCTGGTAGGAATTCTTTTTTTGGGGGCTGTGCTGCCTTGCCGAGTCGGTGGAAGCACGGCCAGGCCATTTTCGGGCTGAGAACACCCCCAAAGAAAATGCGCTGGGGACGCCGGGGTGAGATCGCCTCCAGCAAAAGTGCGCTGGGGACGCCTGGTGGCGCAGTGGACTGCCTGATTTGCTGGGGAGGCTTCCCGATGAAGGAACGCCACTTGGGCAAACCGGGGACCGTCAATGCTTCTATTACTACCAGCTATATGTATACCTGTGTCATCATGCTTTTGCTATGAGAACTGTTGCTTCACATCATCTGCGATATGAGTATAGCATGGTGATTACTTATGTGGACTCGCATCATGCTGCTTAATCTTGCAATTGATGTGAAGTGATGGCCGTATTGTGAAGGTAGCCGATGCTGCGCCTGCACACGGGGCCCATTTGAGGGGCCCGACGGTTGCTGAGGGGCCCCCAGGCCGCGTACCATACAGCCCACGGCGGCCCTTCAGGCCCTAGGTAGCACACTAGTTAGATAGGTTTAGTTTACTTACCTTTTCGTGTGTGTGTGCTGTCTTACTTTGTCTGTTCAGGTGCCGTTTCAGACTTGCAGCCCCAAGGTCGGACCTTGGGACTGGGTACACCGGAGGCAGGCCCGAAACGAGGCCAGGCGCATTTTGGTGCCAGACCGGTAGGTAGAGGCGTCGTTTCGGTCCTGCAGGTCCCAAGGCGACGCCTTGGGCTATGTGCACAGGTACCGGGCCTTTTTTAGGCCAAGCGCATTTCTGCGCCTTGCTGCATCAGCAGCATGGTCTGGATGTCCAGTAGGGACCCAGACCAGCTGGGCCGTTTTCTGAGGCCAGCATCAGGTAGGCCCAGCCCACCCAGCGCTGCAAATAGCTGGGCAGCGGCTGGGCAAGGGACGGTTCGAGTAGCTCACTTCTGGAGCGACACGCTGCTGGTTGGAGGCAGCATTATTCTGCGCTAAGCTACGGAGTAGGGAATAGGGGCGTAGGTAGTAGAGAGAGGCGGAGGCCTTACCTGCACACGGCGAGCTTACCTGGCGCCATAGCCGGGCTCCGCGCGGTACCTGCACACGACGATGACCACAGTCAGTACGGTGACAGCTACCTGCAGGTGAGATAGCAAGGAGGACGTCATCTTCTTCTTCCTCCTCCATCTCTCTCGCTTCCTTCTTCGTCTCCCTCCTTCCTCCTCCTCATCTTCTTCTTCACCTACAAGAGTGAGAGAGGTTATTGTAGGAGATACAGGCAGAGGTTATGTTAGGCACATTGCCCAGGATCTGATTCGACGTTTCTGGGACAGACATTGATTGGACACTCGGCAAGGAACTATTTTTGGGACTTCGCTATCGCGATCTTGGTCTACTCCCTTGCCTCCTTCTCCTTCGTCTTGTCCCTTCCTCCCATCTCTTATCCGTGGCATCTCCACAGGTATGTGTGTGAAGGAGGACCTTTCTTCTGTGATTGCGGTCCCTCCTCCCCTCTCACATGTGTGATGTATGATGGATGTCGGGTCAGTCCAGATCAGATCAGAYCTTCTCTTTAAAGTTTTCCGCTGCGCCACTTTGTGCCATCTTGTATGTATCGGAATGTACATTGCTTGTTGATGCTACGCCGACCTTGCATTGTCCATTTCAGTCCTTTTCATCACATTGCGGATCCTTGGCTCCCTACGCATTGTCCCATTGGGCATGCGTCAGTTGGTGTGGCCTGCAGGCTTGACCATTGGCTCATTACTTAACAACAACTTGCTTTTCAATCGAGATTGGACTATATTGTGGTTGTTTCAACACTTCTGTTAGTCTCGCGCCACGGTTCAATAAATATTGAGTGGCAGCATCAAGATCTGAGCCAAATTGAGCAAAAGCAGCTACTTCACAATATTGTATTGCTCTATTTGGATGGATTCTCGGTGCAATTGTGCTCTCTGATTGATTGATTGAGTGAGTGAGTGATTGGATTACACTAATTAGTCCCCAAAATCGTGGATTTTGACCTAACTGCTGAAATCGTTTTTTTTTTCTTTTTCTTGGATTTCATTTTCCCGCTATTCTCATTTGTGGAAAATCTCAATAGTGTAGCATCTGAAATTTTCGTTTTTCTTAATTATGAAATTCGAAATTCCGATGCTGGAGGTCCGGAAATATTACAATTTTTTTTTTCGATTAATCTTTTCCTTCGCAATTCCCCGTTAATTCGGAAATTCCGATTTTTTTTTTCTGAAATTCATTATTTGAACTTATTTCCGAAAATTTCCGCGTTCTTTTTCACGCATTCCGGGGGTAACGGAAATTTCGAAATTCGACCGTTATTCCCAGATTCGGAAACTATTTTTTTTTACGGGAAATTCCTCTGCAGTCATTTGTTTTCAAACTGCGCATACTCTCTCTTGAGAAATTCCAAATTTTTTTGTTTCGGAATTCTCCGAACTTGCGGAATTGTTTTTATGTTTCGCAGTTCAGTCACTTTGATAATCTCCATACGTATTCTTTTTTCTCTTTCCATTAGCAGTCTGAAATTCGGAAGTCGTTCCGAATTACCTGTTGTGGGGAAACATAGGAGACCTACCGAACTTGCAATCGAGAAATTATATATACGATATATGTCGCAAAGTTCCAACTTTTCATTTTTTGATTAGTGGCTCCTTATCTGGGCGATCCACTCGATTCCCCCACTCCCCACCTCTCCCTCCGAACTACTTCTCGTCTTCTGGCTCAACTGCCCATCAGTTCTGGCTACAGCCTTGGTAAGACCCTACTTTGGCAGGCCACGTCAGCTACCCGCGGCACATGACCCTACTCAGTCGTTCACAGAGCAGGGATGGATCAGAAAGCCAACGAGACTGACGAAGCCTATGAGGCACGGTTGGCGGCCATCATGGCCGAAAGCAAGCAATGGGCAGAAGCATCAGCAGCAGCACGGAAGAAGAGGGAGGCGGAGGCAGAGAGACTGCGTCAGATCGCCGAAGAACAACGACAGAAGCACGCAGCAGCAGCAGCAAAGGCCGCCGACCTCCTCACTACTTGCATTGCACAGCAGGAGGACATTCACTCTCTCGACCACGCCAATCAGGCGCTGACTAAGCGCATACAGCAGCTGGAGCAGCGACCCGTCGCCACTTCCAGCGCCGGCCCCGCCGACCTCGTCGACCGCGTCAACGTCTTGGAGATAGACGTGGGAACGCTCAAAACCGAGACACAGCGACTGGACCAGCAGGTGGGGGCAGCAGCCACACCGAGCTCAGCGCCTCGGGAGAGCATTCCCAAATTTGAGGGGCTCCCGTTCTTCTGTGATGCATCGAAGACGGAGCCGATACCTTGGTGGGGCCAGTTCAAACTAAAGTTGGACATCCACCAGGTCGTCAACAAGAGCCGGCACACATACTTGTACTCCCGGTTAGGAGGTGCGTGTCAGGCATGGCTGGACAACATGTTGTCCGCATATGCATGCATAGTCTCCGAGTTACACAACTTCATCACTTGGGCCGATCTCACGGCGGCATGGAAGAAACGTTTCCAAGTGGAACCGCCCGAGCATCAGGCGATGGGCAAGCTGCTGACATTCGCACAGAACAGCATGCCAAGCGGAGACTGGATATCTGAGTTTCAACGCCTGGCAAGCACGCCCAAGTTCCCGATGAACTTCGACGGCATCAAGCTCTACTTCATCAAGAGGTCGTGCCCAGCGTTGCAAAATGTGTTAACTTAGGTCGCTGAGAACCTCAACACAAGTGAGGAACTCTTCAAAAAGGCCGCACAGATCATTGTGACGAACTTGGAAGCCAAAAACATTGGCTGTTCGTCGACTGTCGGCCAGGGCGCGTATCAGCGTCGGCCGAAAGTGGTCGTGGTCGCGGCAGCAACGCCAAGGCTGCCTCGTTTGACGAGGGAGATAGATTAGCAGCTGCCCAGAATGGTGGCCGCTTCGCCAAAGGACGAGGATGGGGCAAAACAAAGACAAACACCACTTCTTCTGGGCCCGGACAAGCAGCTCCAGCTCAAGAACCTTGGACACAATATGGTCTAACGGAGCGCTGGTATCGCGTCCGCACCAAGTACCGTAATTGTTTGTGGTGCAACTGCGCGGCACATGAGACCGTGAACTGTCCCACGAAAGCCAAGGGCCCCGCTCAGTCGGGAAAGTGAGCGCCGCCGAGAGTG